AATGTATGTATGTATGTATGTAATGTATGTATGTATGTATGTATGTATGTGTATGTAGTGTAATGTAATGTAATGTAATGTAATGTATGTATGTAATGTAATGTAATGTGATGTAATGTAATCCATGTATGTATGTATGCAATGTATGTATGTATGTATGTATGTATGTATGTTCGTACGCACGTATGTATGCATGCATGTATGTATGTATGTATGTATGTATGTATGTAATGTAATGTATGTAATGTAATGGTATGTTTGTGCGTAATGTACTGCAATGTAATGCAATGCAATGTAATGTAATATGTAGTGTATGTGTACATGTATGTAATGTATGTAATGTATGTAATGTATGTATGTAAATGAGATGACAATGGAATTAAATGTAATGTAATGTAACGTAATGTAATGAATGTATGTATGTAATGTATGTATGTATGTATGCATGCATGCATGTATGTAATGTATGTATGTATGTATGTATGTCTGTATGTATGTATGTAATTAATGTAATGTATGTATGTATGTATGTATGTATGTATGTATGTATGTATGTATGTATGTATGTATGTATGTATGTATGTATGTAATGTAATGTAATGTAATGTAATGTATGTATGTATGTATGTATGTATGTATGTATGTATGTATGTATGTATGTATGTATGTAATGTATGTATGTATGTATGTATGTATGTATGTATGTATGTATGTATGTATGTATGTATGTATGTATGTATGTATGTATGTATGTATGTATGTATGTATGTATGTATGTATGTAATGTATGTATGTATGTATGTATGTATGTATGTATGTATGTATGTAATGTATTTATGTAATGTATGTATGTAGGTATGTATGTATGTATGTATGTATGTAACATATGTATGTAATGTATATATGTATGTATGCATGTATGTATGTATGTAATGTATGTATGTATCTATGTAATGTATGCATGTATGTATGTATGTGATGTGATGTGATGTGATGTGATGTGATGTATGTATGTATGTATGTAATGTATGTATGTAATGTATGTAATGTATGTATGTATGTATGTATGTATGTATGTAATGTAATGTAATGTAATGTAATGTAATGTAATGTAATGTAATGTAATGTATGTATGTATGTATGGTAATGTATGTATGTATGTATGTATGTAATGTAATGTAATGTAATGTAATGTAATGTAATGTAATGTAATGTAATGTAATGTAATGTAATGTAATGTAATGTAATGTAATGTAATGTATGCAGTGCAACGAATGGAATGGTGATACAATGCAATGCATATGTAATGCAATATATATATATATATGTATATATATATGTAGTGTAATTCAACCTAACTGAATGTGCTGTGATGCATTGTAATCTTTTGTAATGTATGTAATATAATATATGTAGGTAATGTATGTAATGTATGCATGTATGTAATGCAATGCAATGCAATGCAATGCATTGTATTGTACTGTAATGTAATGTAATGTAATGTAATTTAATGTAATGTAATGTAATGTAATGTATGCAGTGCAACGAATGGAATGGTGATACAATGCAATGCATATAGAGTGCAATGTATATATATATATATGTAGTGTAATTCAACCTAACTGAATGTGCTGCGATGCATTGTAGTGTAACGTAGTCGAACATAGGGTGAAATAACATGATCTATCGTATTGTACGGTAATGTATGTATGTTTGCTTGTTTGCATGTTAACTTGTTTTCTTGTTTTTTTTTTTGTGTGTTTTTGCTTGTTTTTTTTGTTTATCTGTCTGTTTGCTGCCTTTTTGTGTGTTTGCGCGTTTCTTTGTTTGTTTGGCTGCCTGCTCGCCCGCCCGCCCGCCTGCCTGCCTGCCTGCTGCCTGTTGCCTGTCTGTTGTGCGTCCGTCCATCCGTCCGTTTGTTTGTCTGTTTTTTGTTTGGTGTTTGCTTGTTGTGTGTGTGGCGTCTTGTGTTGCTTTGTGTTGTGCAGTGCAGTGTTTTGTGATGTTTTGTGATGTTTTGTGATGCTTGGTGCAGTTGCGTTGTGTTGCGTCGCCGTGTTTGTGTTTTGTTTGTTGGTTGTTGGGTTGCTTTATTGGTTGATTGGCTTGCTGGCAGGTCGCCCAGGTCGCCCAGTTGACTTGGGGTTTTGCTTGCTCCGCTCTCGCCTAGGTGCGGCTGCGGCCTCAAGAGCTCACCATGAAGGTGAGGAGCAAGCAGTGGGCGCATTTCCAGGCAGACGCGCCGGCCACGCCCTTCGCCACGCAACGTGTGGGGGGCTTGGAGCCCGTGATGACCGTGGTGCTGTGACATTCCGACATTTGGCGCAGCTGTTTCAATTTTTGCCGATATGAGCCGAGGGACCGCCGGGCCTGTGTTCTTGAAACTGGGCAGACTGTCATACTTTGCTTGTAGCTTACAGTCTAAAGCGCAAAAGACCGCGAAGCAATACAAAGCATGAGCAAAGAGACACTCAAAGAGACAACAATCGCCAAAGGAAACGTTGGGGTCTACAAGTGTTTTCAATTGACGAAGAGCACCAAGATTCAACAGACAATCAAGCAAAAATACAGAAACCCAACAGCAACAAAACAATCCTTAAAAGAAATTGTTGGATTGAGATTTCCTGCATTTTGTGACGTTTGCTGTGTTTGCCCACCGCATCTGCTTTCGTCAGCATGCGTTTGTTGTTCAACTCGATGTCACTGGAGTGGATGGTGTTTACGGTACAGCAAGCTGCAGCTAGCAGTTCTGAGCAACGCATGTGCGAACGGAGCTGCATCTCTCCATGACGAAACACAGGCCCCACAGTGGCTCTCGGTAAACGCGCGCGCTGGGTCGTTCAAAGCCACGTGTCAGTGCCAGTGCCGGTTGGTCGTAGCTTCCTTAGTGGTGTCCCACAGCTAACGAATTAGAGTTAGGTTGCCGGAAGTATTGAACAACCCAGGTTCGCAAGAGTCCAACGCTGCGCAAGAAGCGCAGCTCGGCGAAGACATTTGGATTTCTCTTGTTAGGGCAGGCCGCGAAGAGTTTGTTTCGCCTTGCCTTATTTACTGTGTCCGTTATTTTGCGCCAAATGATTTGCAGAAGCGTGGCGATGTGGCGATGACTCGAGTCATCGCGGGTGAATCTCGCAGAGATGTCCAAGATACATCGCAGTTGTCTCTGGGCACCTCGTCGGCCCCCTTGGGCATGTGCTCAGAGGGACTTGGCTTTAGTTTTTCGGGGTTCCGTGCGTGGAAAGCAGGACCGTTCCCACTCTTGCGATCTCCCCTTCAAATGAGGAACTGGTTGGGAAGGCCTACCGGTGGTTTCACAGAAGCGGGAACGGTCCTGAAACGCTGCCCATTTCTGCCAGCCACTGGATTTGGAGAATTGCCACTACGAGTCCATCAAACCGGCCATCTTGCAGTGCATGGACCGCTCTTGCCAGTTAGTCATTGCACAGCGTGCCAGAGGCTCCATTTGTGTCCACGTCCCATGGCCAGAGTCCTGAGACGACAAAAAAAAGCGGAGGAGTTCAACAATCCCAGAACCGCAAGGGGCGAGCTATGGGCGTGCTTCTTTGAGTTTTTCCGCTTTTTGGGGGGCTGAGTTGCAAGCGGAAAAGGAGTGGCGCCTTTTGGGTGCCAAGCTCTTGAGAAAAAGCTGGGCCTGGGCCCTGGGCACCATGGTCGAATCGGGGTGAAAGAAGTCGCAAGGAGAGACCCTTTTGGAAGCATGGTCTTTTCTCCCCTAGGTCCCCAGCTAGGTGCCCTTTTTCCCAACTTTTTTGGGGGAGGGTCCTACTAAAATAACTATACAGAAAAAAGGGTACCCTTATTCTAACCTCTCTACTGGAAAACCTAGTTCCATCCAAGCTACAGCTATTCAAGAGGTGATCGACCTTTTGTACTGCTGAGACATGGCTGTTAGAGCAGTCGCACTGGAAATTAAACTGATGCTCCAACACAAAGTGGTTTACAGGCCTGTTGCGCAAAATAAAACAAACGCGAAGTCGGCGGCCTTGTGAAACAAACTCACCACGTTTGCGTTTGGATTCTAAGATGGTTTCCGTTGCCCGCAAACCCCCACCCCCTCGGTTAATGAGATATACAGCCACCACATGGCTGTACAAGGGCATGTACCCCATTGTCCTCTGGGGGGTAGTGGCGTAACTAGTGAAACCATCTCAGACGGAGCAGTTTAGCGGTAAGCATCTGGCAGGGTGAGTGTCTGAATGGAACTAGCGCGTTGGTTTCTTGAGCAAACCACCCGTTTGGGTATCCCTTCGTTTGACGGAGCCTTTTTTGGGCCTTGTTTTCGCAAACCTTTGGGAAACCCAGGGCCCTTTCCTCGGACCCTTAGATTTTCACTTCACGCCGCCAACTCCAGCTGTATTAGGGGCCACAACACTAAACCAACACCGGCCTCCGGAAGGCCCGCGACAACTCGGGGCTCGGGCTCGGCCCGTTTTTGGTCGCCCAGAGTGCATTTTCTACAATGGGCTGTGCTTCCCCACAAGTTTGCTTGGCCCCCCTTCTGAAGCTCAAGCCCGTTCCACTCCATAGGCCGGAGGTTTCCGAACGGGGTACCAACATTGAAACAGGTGTTTCAACATCACACTCGCGCGTGAGAGAAGCTGGGACGCTAAGGGCTTTCTAAGAGTTGCGACCGTAAAGGCTAATAAGGGTTGTAGAAGGATGACAAAACCATAAAGCAATAAAGGCTACCATCCAAAAGGCGTTCAGTGGCGTTGCCCAATCTGAGACTGAATGATGTTTTTTTCTGAACGACCCGGAATCCTTGCCCATGAAAGCCCCATTTGCCTTTTAACGGGTGACGCTTAAAGCGTTCCTCTCAAGGGCCAATCCAAGCCAGGTGAGTAGGGTCCCCAAAAATGGCAGCGGGTTCCTTTTGGTTTCTCCTTGAATACCCAAAAGGGGCCTTCAGCCCAGTTTGAGAAACTCTATGGCTTCCGCCAAAAGCTTGCATGTTTCACCGTTTCTCCGTTTCACCCGAGGCAGCAGACGAGCCTCGGTAGCCCCACCATCCTCAACACGGATCTCCACTACTCCTTTGGCCCAGGTAATAGGCTGGATGGGAAGCGATTTCTCAGACAGCATTTTTCAAACTTCGTGGGTGCACTTTTAGTCATGGCCCCAAATAGTTTGGCTCCTTTGCACAAGGTGGAGTCAAACCCAGTGGTGGTCGATTTCACCGACAAAACAAAGGGGGGAACTGCTGGATTTAAGTCTTCCTCAATCAAAGCACGTGACGGGGGGGGTCACGAGCACCGAGGGCGCTTGACGTGCGTTTGGTAACGCCGGCTTCGGCTACCACCCGCAGTGGTTCCTGGATCTTTTTTGCACCAGGCACTCTGACAAGTAGGAACATGCTTGCTCCCATTTGCGTATTTGCACATACATGCGCATTTACGCACATTTACACAGAACACACGCACGCACGATTGAACTTGGACACACACACACACACACTCACTCACTCACTCACTCACTCACTCACTCACCCACCCACCCACCCACCCACACACACACACACACACACACACACACACACACACACACACACACACACACACACACACACACACACACACACAAAAACACACGCGCGCACACACACGCAAACACACACGCAAACGAACAAGCAAACAAACAAACAAACAAACAAACAAGCAAGCAAGCAAGCAAACAAGCAAACAAGCAAACAAGCAAACAAGCAAACAAGCAAACAAGCAAACAAGCAAACAAGCAAACAAACAAACAAACAAACAAACAAACAAACAAACAAACAACCACACACGAAAGGAAGTCACCAGGAGATGGTACAGCTCATTGATTCAAGATGCAGTCCAAACCCCCTCAATCTTTGCCCACTTGTCAGGTCCCGGCTGACTGGCTGTTTGAAGTTGGTTAAGGGGGTGCCCATCAGCCCAACAGCCTAACCGAACAACCCAACAGACCAACAGACCAATGCCTCTGTGGATGATTCTGGGGCTCAACATTTCTTTTCTAGGTCCCCCAGCAGTGCCCTTTCTCACCCCTTTTTTGGGGGAGGGTTCCCCCACTAAAATAGACCACAGACAAAAAAGGGTACCCTTATTGTAACCTGGAGGACCTAGTTGTGGCGGGTTTTAATCATCGCCTTCTGGGGTTTCCTTCTGATTGATTTTGAGAGGGGAAAGATCGGGCCCGGTGATTTCAGCAGACCAGAAGTAGACCGATGGGAACTTTGCAACTTCTGAGCGACCGGCGCTTCAACTTGCTGGTTCCACCAGGAGAAACGGGTTACCGAACTGAACTTCATTGGACTGTGCTTTTTGGCCAAAAGGACCTGCCTTGGTTCCTGTCCCAACAAATCTTGATTTTCACCCCTACCTTTCGAAGCAGCAAGTCAACAGGTTTGCCTTTTTTGTCTTCCCATTTTGTGTGTTTCTGTTCACGTGACCCCAAGAGAAAGCTGCAATTTGCTTGTGCGTGCCAAACAGAACACACACCCAATGGACTCCGCCCAAAAGCCGGTCCGAAAACATGCTAAAGAAGGTGGTCGCGCGCCTTTCCTGAAAACGACCTTCCAAGAAAGTCTCAAAAATCCCCACGTAGCGCAGAAAGAGCAGAAGAAGGTGGCTGCAAGCCTAACCCACCCAGAAGGTCCACCTGAGACGCAATCAAAACCCGGGTAGATGAAGGTTAGTAAGGGACAATCCCAGCCATAAGTGGTTGCGGCCGCCTTTGTATGTCCTTACATGGTTCTGGGTGAACCATTTTAATACCGGGTTTTGATTCTGACTCACCTCGTTTCGCCCCGCCTGTTTTGTTGCTGTGCGAGGCCCGCCACGCCCAGCAGCGCGGGAGCCAAGATGGGCATTGGTTTTCCTTTGTTGGGTCAGTGGCTAGGTTTCCCAGTAGTGCCCTTTCTCACCAGGGGAGGGGTCCCCTCCTAAAATAGACTACCGAAAAAAGTTGGTACCCTTATGCTAACCTCTCTGCTGGAGGACCTGGGTGGCTTCTGTGGCTGGCCTTTTGCTTCGGCTTCAAAGGTATCGAAAACACGATTTGGGGGGCGGCGATGCACGGCTTTCTCTGAGGCCCGTGAAGCCGGGCCCAGCTCGGACAAAATTCAGAGCTGGAGTCTGGCACAACCCGACATTCTAGGGCTTGCTTCAGACATCTGTTCAACCATCCTTCTTTTCTAAAAATCGGAGTCCTTGTTTTTCCGGTTGCTGTAGTTTTTCCAAGGAGCCCTGGAAAGAATGGGGAAGGCCCTGAGAAAAATGAGGCTGCTTCGGTGATTTGATTAAAACCATGGTTTAGGGGACGGAATTATCTATAAATGTTCCGACCCCCCCCCAACCTCCTCCCAAGCCGAGCACAAAGCACCACAAACCTCCAACTGATTCCTTGGAGCCCTGCCAGATGGTGCAAAGCTTTCATTGCCCCAGTCTGTCTCAGGATGGTACGAAGCAAAAAAGCACATGCGGCGTTTGACCTCGTTTGCTGAATGCCCAGGCCTCGTTGCGGCAGTTTGGGCCATGTGCTATCTGGACCTCCTAGCGGTTTGGGACAAGACCTCCTAGCGGTTCGTTTGATGCTCATCTGAAAGCAAGAAGGCTTAGAGGCCCGTGCTCCCCCAGGGCGTTCTCTAAGGGTCCCAGCCAGAGGTGCAGGCGTCCTCACCTGGCCAGGAGATGTTTCCCGTGACGCTCCCGATGGGAAGTTATGGTAGAGACTTGGTAGCGAAAGCAATATAAAGTTACATCACCTGGGGACCCCTTTAGGAAGGATAGTTTGTGTTTAAAGCCTCCCAAATGCCCGTTGAGAAGCGGGGTTCGCTTGCCTGAGGCCTGGCAAGCTCCCCGCTGATGGCTAGGCGCGCCGCTTTGAGACGTCGACGTAGTCCCAAACCGGGTAGAGCGACCATATGTTTCAACATTTCAGCCACCTCTTGGACTCCTGGAGGGTGATTTGGGGGTCAGCGGGCTTGGCAACGGGACTGCTTAGGCTTCAAAAAGTGAACCCTCTGCGCGCTTTGGGCGGGTCGGCCTTCAGACTTGAGATTTTTCAGAACCCTCTGCGGACTTTGGGGGGTTCAGCCTCAAAAAAAAACGTGTTTTTTTTGTGGCACCTGTTCACTTTCGTGGGCTGGAGGCAGAGAGAGAGAGAGAGAGAAAACAAATCAGAAGGAACAGAACGAGAGAAGAAAGAGAGTACAAAAGCGAGAAGGAGGAAGAAGAGAAAGAGAAAGATCAAAAAGTCATGACAGAGGAAGAGAAAGAAGAGGAGAAAGAAGATTCTGGAGAAAGAGAACGAGCTGGCTTGATGAGATCCAGTACAGGGGTCTGCTCCAGGTGCTTGGTGCCCAGAAATCGGGCTTGGCGCGTGAACATTTTGAGGGTGGTGGGGGGGGGGGGGGGTGGGGTTCCCTTCAAATCATCTGAAGAAGCGTTCCCCCCCGCGCAAAACAAATTGGCTTTGGCTTTCCCTTGTAGCCCGCACCCTCCAAACCGGACGCGACCGCGTCAACTGCCCGCCGTGTGGCTGGAATGGCCGTCTTGAAGTTGTGAATTGGCCAGGGCGCGTCTTTTTGGGGAACCCCCTTTTTGGTTGGGTTTAATGAAAAATGGGATGCCTGATGGATCAATAGTGCTGGAAGTCCCTAGTGCACCTGGTCCTTCTTCCTGCATGCTCAAAAAGTCAGCGCGTAATTTTTGCCCGCGGCCTTTTTTTGGTTCAATTTGGGGTGTTACAGCGCACTCTCCCCGAACCTACAGGCAAACATCCCCGACCAGGCGAAGATTCCCGACTAGGTCTTCGTATTTTGATGTCTCGTATTTCTTGCGTACGTTGTCATTCTTTGCATGGCTCTGCTATTTCAAATTTCCGTAGCACGGAAGTGTTCTACTTAAACTGCCTTTGGTTCTGACATGTTACCTAACTTAACTGTTGCACTGCTAAGCTTGCTTCTGAGGCTATGATATGTTCCATTTATCTTGTGTTGAAATAGATTTAGTTTATGACAATGATTGAACAAGGGTCAGGATAGGAATGCCACAAACAGCCTGCAGGAAAGTAGAAGCAACACATCTTTTAATGGGTGGCAAAGTCTTGATGGATCATTTGCGCGAACCTGCCAACATTGTGCAAACTTTGGTAGCATGTGTCTAAAACAGCCTGACTGCCCTTTCATAAGCAGCAGGTGCGGGTTTTGAGGCGAGAGGGTTGCATCTATTTAAATCGATACGCATGGTCTGGAGCCATAGGGCAAACCCTCACTTCATTTGCTTAAGAACCCTGGAAAAAATAAACAACATATTTGCAGTAGTGATAAATGCCTTCTCAAACCAATAGGGGAAAATAGGAAAATATTCTTAAGCAAATGGAAGCTCAGAGGATGACCAGCCCATAGCTCGTGTCTCCCTCGCGCATGGCGCTGCAGGGCGGAGCAGAGCCTGACCCAGGCGCGTGTTGGAGTCCGCGAGAGCGATGTTTGTCTTTGAGGGGGGACCCGTTTTACCAAAGGGAAACGAAAAGGAACATAGAGATCATTTCTTCGGGGGGTCCTCACGCAGTGGGTTTCGGACGTGTTTGCAGACGCAGCTTCAACCTTGGTTGCTTTGTTCTGAGCCAACAGGCCCAACTGGCTTGGTGTTTGACACACGCCCGAACGGCGGTGTCGAGAAGCGGACTTGCGCAAACTGTCGCGTGTTTTGTTTGAGTGTGTGTGTGTGTGTCTGTGTGTTTTACGCAAGGCAAGTTGAGGCACCAAAGCATTGCGAGCAGCGCGCGAAATCTAAACTTGCCACGCAAGTGAAGGCTACCCTAAGCCAGCCAAGCCTTTGAAATCTGCTGAAGCATCCTAGTAGAACCAAGTCATGCTTTGTTTTGGGCGCTGTTGTTGGATTTGCAGTGACGCCGGCAACGTAGGCCTTTTCAACATGGTTTTGCGAACCGTCACAAGCTGCAGCAGTAAAGGAGCGTTGCGCCCTTCTTCAAATCTGCCAGCAGCACCATCTTGGCTTGTTTGCAGCGCCGCAGAGATGTCCCCAGCCCTCCTTGCATGGCGGGCGTAGTTGCGAGCGAAGGCCGCCCTTCGTGAGAGTCGGTTGTTGAGAGCCGGCCGCAGACTTCTGGAAAAGCCTTGCCGTGGCTTTGGTTGGCTCACTCGCCCAAGCCTGGCCTTTCAGCCTTGTCTTCCCCCAATTTGGCCAGCCGAGTCTCCAAAAACACACATGGCTGTTCTTACTTCAGGCGCAGAGCCTCGGATTCCAAAAAAATGACACAGAGTATGTCGGCATCTCAATCTGAATCTGGGCTTAACATTGTGTGTTTCGCAAAATGACATCTTGCCCGCAACGACAGCTTGACGGAGACGTTGCCTGACAATCCATCCCACAGTGACTTTCATTTTCCTTGAGTCTCACGCACTCACGTACTCCTGCGCTCACGCACTCACGCACTCACGCACTCACTGTTCACTCCCTCGCTCCCTCACTCACTCACTCACCCACCCACCCACCCACCCACTCACTTTCTCACTCTCTCACTCTCTCACTCTCTCACTCTCTCACTCTCTCACTCTCTCACTCTCATTCTCACACTCTCGCTCTCACTGTCACGTTTACTCGCTCTCTCTCTCTCTCTCACACTCACTCACTCCACTCACACTCACACTCTCACACTCTCACTCTCACACTCTCACGCTCTCACACTCTCACACTCTCACACTCTCACTCTCTCACTCACACTCACACTCTCACTCTCTCACTCTCTCTCTCTCACTCACTCACTCACGCACGCACGCACGCACTCACTCACTCACTCCACTCACTCACTCACGCACGCACGCACGCACGCACGCACTCACTCACTCACTCACTCACTCACCCACCCACCCACCCACCCACCCACCCACCCACCCACCCACCCACCCACCCACCCACCCACCCACTCACTCACTCACTCACTCACTCACTCACTCACTCACTCACTCACTCACTCACTCACTCACTCACTCACTCACTCTCACTCACTCTCACTCACTCACTCACTCACTCACTCACTCACTCACTCACTCACTCACTCACTCACTCACTCACTCACTCACTCACTCACTCACTCACTCACTCACTCACTCACTCACTCACTCACTCACTCACTCACTCACTCACTCACTCACTCACTCACTCACTCACTCACTCACTCACTCACTCACTCACTCACTCACTCACTCACTCACTCACTCACTCACTCACTCACTCACTCACTCACTCACTCACTCACTCCCTCCCTCCCTCCCTCACTCACTCACTCACTCACTCACTCACTCACTCACTCACTCACTCACTCACTCACTCACTCACTCACTCACTCACTCACTCACTCACTCACTCACTCACTCACTCACTCACTCACTCACTCACTCACTCACTCACTCACTCACTCACTCACTCACTCACTCACTCACTCACTCACTCACTCACTCACTCACTCACTCACTCACTCACTCACTCACTCACTCACTCACTCACTCACTCACTCACTCACTCACTCACTCACTCACTCACTCACTCACTCACTCACTCACTCACTCACTCACTCACTCACTTACTCACTTCAAGACTACTCACCACCTTCGCTCACTTCTACTCACCTCACTCTACTCACTCCACTCACTCCACTTCCACCACTCCACTCCACTCCACTCCACTCCACTCCACTCCACTCCACTCCACTCCACTCCACTCCACTCCACTCCACTCCACTCCACTCCACTCCACTCCACTCCACTCCACTCCACTCCACTCCACTCCACTCCACTCCACTCCACTCCACTCCACTCCACTCCACTCCACTCCACTCCACTCCACTCCACTCCACTCCACTCCACTCCACTCCACTCCACTCCACTCCACTCCACTCCACTCCACTCCACTCACTCAATCACAGTCACTGACAACACCGAATGCTGCCCTTGCTGCGCGCGCTTCTTTTTGCTTTGCAGGCGCAGCGCAGCGCTTTGCGACTTGGCGTCCAGATTTCGTGGCAGGGGCAGCAGTTGGTGAGCACGGATGTACGCTTGCGCGGCAGGGGCTAAAGGGGCTTGGTGTTGCTCTGCGTGCGCTTCGGGGCCCCATTTTGTGTGGCACGCGCAACGCTGTGTGACAGGGCGTGCAGATTTCGTGGCAGGGGCAGAATTTGGTGAGCGCGGGTGCACGATTGAGTGGCAGGGACTTTGGTGCGTGGCAGGCGCAGCACTTTGTGACTGGGCGTGCAGCAGGTTTCGTGGCAGGGGCAGCATTTTATGAGCTCAGGTGTAAGATTTAGTGGCAGGGGCGGCATCTGGTGCTACTCGTTGACGGGACGTAACGATATACACTTGCTAGCTGTTCACTCTCACTCATCTCAGATCTCATTCATCTCACTCCCATTGTACATGGGAGCTTCTTCTTGCCCACCTAGCTGATTTTGACATGAGATGGCTGGGAGTCGCCTGACACAAGCACGCGACAAGAAAGGGCTCGCAGCAGCAGCCTCATTCATTTCTTCGTTCTTTCCTTCTTGCCTTCTCTCTTTCTCTCCGCGCTGCTGGCGTTCTTTCTTCTCAGCGAAGGGCAGCTCCCCTTTGGGGTTTCCCTTAGAACCTGCCCACAAGACGCACCGAGCCTCCTCAAGAAGGGCGCGGTGCCAGGCTGGGTCGCAAATGATCTATGTTCAGGTTTGCCCAAAAGGGCGTCCCATTGGTATGTCCCACATTCGTGCCCGGGCTGTGTGAAGGAGCCGGCGTCTACTCTGGCGCCGGCGCCAGTGGAGGCGGGGGGGGGGCTGCGCTGTTCGCCAAACTGCGCTGCTGGAAGAACAGAATCTTGAACTTCCCCCAACACGTTGGCTCGACTTCGCTTTCATGTTTAACTTGTGCAGGTCCAAAGCCTGGCCAAAAGAAGCCACACAGTCAAGACTCGGAGTGAAGCTTTTGAAGCTGCGGAACCGTTGTCAGGGAACTTGACACAGGCCCTGGAAGACTTTGCAGGGGCTTTCTGGCTCTGTGTTGGGAGGGGACCCTGCGAATCGCAATCTTTGCAAGGACCGAATCTCAGAAAGCCCCTTAAGCCAGCGGTGAGGTGTTTTTTAATAAGCTTCACTAACTCATGATATTTTGACCATATCATGAAAACCCTTCTGGCGGGGAAAGCTGCCATCTGAGTATGTGGGCGGGGCATGACCTCAAAATGAGTTTCTGTTGGCTTTCAATGCAAAAACAAAGTCCCGATGTGGGTGCTTGCTGCCTTTTTTTTTGCGGAAGGTGATCTTTCTCAGGCTTCGACATGTTGCTTTGGACAGATACTGCGCTCTTTGCGCCTCCCAAACATGGGTCAATTGTCAAATCAACCAGATGCGTGTGTCTTAATTAAGGGACCCTCCCCCCCAAAAAAAAGAAAGCGTTCTCCTTTTCAGTTGCGCTTTAGAACGAGAGCGTATGTTTTGAGGGTAGTCACCCGTTTTGTGGTTTTAACGGAAAACAAAAAGGAAGACCGAAGTCCGGCTTTAACCCCTAAGAATTACCTTTACCTCGAACGATCCCCACCTAAACTTTTTCCCGCGCTGCAAGCGTGCTCAACTTCGGGCTGTTGCAGCTGTGGCCCGGCCACTGGCGCGAGCCTCAAGTCCGCAGCTGTCCTCAGCCACGCAGCGTCCCAAGCTGGTCAATTTCGAGTTCAAGCCCACGCCTGTCGCGATGTTTCTTGGCCGCGCGACGCAGCGAGATGGCCAGCTTGCGCTTTGTGCCTGAGTTGGCATTGGCTTCACGAAGCATTGAACGTGAACCACATTGATAGAAAGGCTCTGGCAAGCAAACTGAGTGTGCGTGTGCGTGTGTGAAAGGCTCTCACGGTCTGTCGCAAAAACTGGGAGGTCGGCTGCCACACCCGGCGTTGGCGTGTGAACCCTGTGCTCTGTCACGGCGTCAGGGAGCCGCAGGCTGGCCAGGCGGTAGCAAAAGTTGCAGCACCACACACAACCACACACTAACAGGGCTCCTTAAAAGATCTCCATTTTGCAACCATTTAACACCAAACTAAAGGGACACCACCACTTACAAGGCAATGTTCAGGTGTACAATATAAGGATCCCTGACTAACACCCAAACTCCGCACCCACCCTACCCGCCCCCCACCCCCCACGCGCGCACGCGCTCCCTCCCACGCGCGCACGCGGCCCTGAAGCCAAAGAAAAGGCGGACGAGGCATGGGGGGGGAGGAGCCAAGCCTTCAACGGTTGATTGGCAGTTTGGGCCTTGTTGCGGCATGCCCAGATAGCACGTGGCGTAGGGGCTGAGATGATCGGTTTTGAGCACTCATTGCAGACGACGAGGCATCTCCTGGCCGAAAGCGGGTGAAAAGTGAAAAGTTTTGGCTGTTGAGTTTGCCCGTCAGAAATTTCATCCCCCAGGCACTTGTTTCAAACAAATGGTGGCGAGGAGACGTGGAAAACGCTTCAAAATCGGCAGAATGAGCAGAACCTCCTTTCACAGCACTGGGTAAGCATCACACGTGGCGGTTCATCATCCGAACAGTACCCAATACCCATTGACTTTTGGCTCTACCAGTATGGTGAAAAAGGTTGGTATAGTGATGCAGGCCCTACCGAAACTTTTATGAAGCCATATGAAGCCAGGTAGTAGACCCACCTACTAAAACGGACTTTGTGGAATCGGTTTTGGGCACCCATTTTGTCATGAGCATGCCACGTTGAAGAAAACACATCCTTGCTGAAGTGTTTCCCTACCTTTGCAAGGAGCGAGCTATTTGTTTCATGGGTGTGAAAAATAGGGGGACCCTACAAATGGCGGTTTTGATTTTTTGTTGGCCTCGCTTTAGCGCACGCAGCCCAAACAAAGGCAAGAAACATGTACCCACATTTGGCCGACCCTCTAGCCTTGCACGGGACGGATTGGAACGAGGTGTGTGTTTGCCAAGCGTTTTCATAGCCTGAGCTTGGGGGGCACAAATTGTCCGGACTGCCCGAGCTTCGTAGGCGGAGCCAAAGCTGAGCCCTAGAAGCTCGGCCGATGTCGGCGAGGAGGGGCAAGTGTGTTTCATGAAGTAAGCAGCACGGTTCGGCTATCCATGCACAGTTTGGCTCTTTGTTGCATTTTGCCAAGGGATGTTAGGACTCTAGATGACTTTGGCTTTTTGCCAACTGATGGGTTTTCCGTATTAAACGTCACTAAAAGTTAGTCACTTTTCGCAGGGGAGCAGATTTCGCACCCGAGAACTTGTTGAGCACATCGGCGGGGTCCCATGGGCTTGACAGACAGACATGTGGCTTGCCGCTGACAAGTTAGGCCGAGTCCGCAGGCAATGAGAATATGATACCGGGGTTTGAACGGGGCCCCGGATTTGGCCAACCCTCATGGTTGAGATCCGATTGGAACGGGCTTTTGTTTTCCGAACTTGCAAGTTTGTGTGGAAAACTTGGGTTGTCCCGCATGTCCTCCGCAAACCAAGACTACCAACTTGAGGCATGTGGGTGTTTCCTGAATGTGGTTACCCCCGTTCGTGGATAATTCGTGCCGTGGGCCCACAGATTTGGGCGTCATACGGGTTTGTGTGGGCGATGCGGCAGGAGAAGAGAGTTAGCCAGGAGCCGGGTCCTGAGGCCAAAGAAAAGGCGGACGAGGCAAGGGGACCTTGTTTGGGCGTTGCGGCATGGCTTGACCAGATAGCACGTGGCGTAGGGGCTGGCGTGCTGCTCAGTGCTTAGCACGCATTGCAGAGTCGATGAAGCGTCCTGGACACGCTTTTTCAAGCGAATGGTGGCCAGGAGATGTGAAGACCTTCCAAATCGGCACAATGACCGGCCACAGCATTTGGCAAGCACACGTGGCGGTTCATCATCCGAACGGCGCCCAGTACTCATTGACTTTTGGATCTACCAAGATGGCGAAAAGGGTTTGCATAGTTATGTAGGCCTGAATGAACCTGGTAGTAGACCCACCTACTAAAACGGCCTTTGTGGAATCGTTTTTGGGCGCTCATTTTGTCAGCGTGCCATGCAGGCGAGTTTTAATGAAAGGAAGCTGGATTTCCGAATCGCACAGGCAGAGCCAAAGCTGAGTCTTGGAAGCCTGGCCGAAGTTGGCGAGGAGGGCAAGCGTGTGGTCTCTGTGTGCTTCTGTGCCTCTTTGTGTCTGTGTTTGTGTGCCTTGTGTGCAATTTGGCTAAGAATCTTAGTGGGGAACACCCTCCCAAATGGCTGGACATAAACCATGACCGAAATGATGCCCACCAAAGGGTCCCCAATTCATACCTTGTTAGAGAGAGGGGCAGGTGCGGTTTCACTGACCAATTGGATCTCTGTTTTTGTTTTTCTGTAGTCTGAAGACGGACCAATTCGTCAACCTGAGTAAAGCTGTCGCGCTGTGCCACTTTGCCTATATGGTCTGGCCATCTATTTTGAACAGTGATTTGATGCTTTTTTGTCTCTTGCTGTCAATATTTTCAGATGTACCTAGCGACTTTTCCGCGCGTGCGTTTGCTCACACTTGTTCAGCCCTTTGCCGCTGCTGACAAAAATCTGGGTCGATTCCGCAGGACCTTGGCCCTCCAGCAGAGGCCGGTGAATGGAAAGGGACAGAAGCAGATGTGATGATACGGGAGTTTGGCCAAGTGGGAACCCTGTTTGGGGTTTCCTTAGGCGGCAAGCAATGAGAATATGACACCGGTGTCCAAGCGGGGTGCTTGATTTTTGGCAATGCTCATGTTTGGAATCTGTTTGGTATGTGTTGCCAAGCTTGGTCTCGACTGTCCATGTTGCCTGTCCATGTTGCCCTCATCTCTCACTGGACACCCAAACAAAACGCGGCCAATGATTTTGTCACTCAAATGGCTCGACGTGCCAGGTGTTCGTGTCTTACAATGTGCTCACCCCTTTCGGCCCACACAGATTTGGGAAGCAGGGAGGTTGGCTGCAGGTGCATGGATTGTGGGGCTTGTGTAGGCGATATCGTGGGCAGCCAGCCAGGAGTCGGGTCTTGAGGCCAATGAACAGGCGGACGAGGCAGGGAGGGGTGAGCAGGCGAAAGGGCGGCCTTTGCCTTCCTCGGAATTGGCATGTTGTGACCAAATAGCGTGCGCACGCCGACGCGCCATGTTCTCAAAAGCACGCAAGGCGGAGGCAATGCAGCACTCTGGACATGACTCCTGGTCAAAAGAGCTAACAATTAGGTGCCCAGGATCTCATTTTCATTCGAAAGGTGGCCAGGAGAGGTGACGACGCAGCACGCCAACCTGCAAGCAGACGTAGTTCATCCTTTGTCATGAAAGTGCCACGTTGAAGCTCTGTGAAGAGTTGCTCGGCCGACGCGGTGAAGTGATTTCTAACCAACGTGCTTTGCAGGAAAAGACCAACACTTTGTTGCATTTTGCTTGGATGTTAGGACTTTCACTTTTTGCCAACTAATGGGTTTTCCATTAAACCACTAAAAAAAAGCAAGCAACGGAGA